CCCCCCCCCCCCCCCCCAAGTACGTTAGAAGTATTTACAAAATAATACTCAATTCTTACAAAATAATGACTATGAAAGTTATTCAACTGATATACCCTGAACTGTCAATAATACAGCAATTATTCACCCCTTGCTGTTTTAGTGTATCAGTACAATGAAGGTTTATGTTCTAGTAGGGTAGGAGGAACACATGACAGTACAATTTAATTCAGAGAAGTCTGCTGCCTTGCTGATGAAATCAACACTCTAAATCAGAATAAGCTTAAATGAGACAATTTTTACTAATTGTTGACAATAAAGGTCTCATGAGAGGCAATACATGTATCTTGCAACAGGGCTGTATTAAAAGCAAACCCCCATACCCTTTTTCAAGCTGTAATTTACTCACAGGGAACTGAAACCTAAGCAGAACATTTACAACTCCATTAAAACCGGCTGCCTGAGATCCTACTAAGATAGTTCTAAGCCAGCACTTTCACCAACCAAGAGTTCAGTACTAGCATGTTATCTGTCTACTACAGACAAATGTTAGGTCTAACATCAGATACGTGTATCTCGTAGTGATCTTGTTCTGATGCGAGCGTTTCATTTCGGTTCACTTCCAGCAGAAAATAACTGTGCCACTGCGCAAACAGCAACAATCGAATTCCTGTAACTTAACCCCATGCACACTAGGCTCACAAACAGGATCACAGGAAACCAAAAGTCAGGTACAGAACCTACGGGTATATCGCTGCTGCAATCAGCAAGACTTTTCTCCTAACTTCTTGATTTCACACACCGACTTGTCGAGGCCACTTCACCGATGTGCTGCAGTTACCATATAAGCCTTATTAGTAGCTTTATTCCTTTATTCTTTGTACAGACTTAAACAAAGGCAACAAGTTAGAGGATGACCTACAGAAGGCTATGGCTATCAAGAAGAGATAAGCAAAACCTGTAGCTGAATAGAAATATCCTGCTGTTCCAATTACAAATACAAATTAAAATAAATTGCATAGTTCTTTCCTAGGAAATTTAAACTCTTAATAAGATTATCTGTGATGAAAAAACCCCAACAACCCAAAAACAACAAAACGCTCTGGCTCTCAGTTCAACTTAAATGAATCCTATCCTCCCCCCGCCCCCCCAATCCATAAGTCTACAGAGTTTCTGGATTCTCGGGATTTTACTCCTTTTAATCACTATTCAGAGTTTTCACCATGGAACCTGGATATCATTATGTATTTAGGACTAAGGGCCTCCATGTGTTTTTCTCCATAATCTCTTTGCTTTCCCTTACCGAGTGTTTGTCAAACAAAACTCATTAAACAAAGTACTCCTTTATTCTCGGGTAGATGGAACTAAGAGAGCGAACAAACAGCAGTAATGCACTTGCTGTAGAGAAGAGAAAAAAAACAACATTCCAAGAAATTTTGTTAATACATGCCAATGCAGTTTTATATGAGAAGGGATAGTTCCGTTCAAGAGAAACTGCATTTTTCCAGGACATCTACATCTCAGACTTCACATCCAGCAGTAAGTGCCACACAAACAGGAATGAAACATAACTGTATTTTTTATTACACTTGCAGTGCTTATACTTGAATTTATCATGCCTTTAATTTGGTTGATCCCATTAAATGTAATGTATGACTACCATCTGCAGTGGTTTGCATTTATGTTTGCATGTTCGTATATGCTGAAACTTTAAAAAGGAAGCAATGAAAAAGGCTAACTCAAGATCCTAATTAGCTGTTCCAGAATATTCTTTTGAATCGGTTTTGAGCTATCCAGACATGTCAGTTCCTTCTGTAAAAGGAAGTTAAACTATCTTTCCCATGGGCCCGATACAGCAAATGATACGTATTTGAACAAACTGAAGGGGTTTGGAAATAGGCAGGTCTAAATCTAAAATCTAAAGTAAGATTTTAAAAATGAGTAGCTGTTAACATTCTCACCTTAAGTATTTTTAAAATATAGATGCTGGACAGAGTTAGCACATCCTTGAACAATTACCTGAAATAAGTACAATATATGAATTAGAGGATTACTGGTTAGGTAATGCCAATAAAGACTGGTAGAATACATATTGATCAAAACCTTGTTGTCTTATGTATAATGAATTGAAATGAGAGCACGATGCTGCAGATATTCTGTGTTCCACTTACTTCAACTTTATCCCCTATTATTATGGCTTTCCAAAAAAGTTCTAATGCTGAAGACCAATTCTAATATTATTGTTCATGTTTAGATAGAATGTCTTAGAAAGCATAATCCAGATTGAGGACTGCCCTTTCTCGATCACTCTGATGAAAGACAAAACCTGCCAATTATGCAGCCCCACTCAAAAGGCAGGTCACCATTTCTAATCCTCGTCACAGAGGTTTCAAACCATTTTTCTTCATCTGCTATCCCAACAGTCCAGCTGATGTAACAGCAATAGTTCTGTCTTCCCAGGTGCACAGTTATCATACTGCCTAAACTGCTCTCAACTGTCAAATGAAATTTGACTCTCTATACAAGAATAGCAGGGAGGTTTTGTAATAAATTTTTAAAACTGCCACTTCATGGCAAATTTGCGAACAATTTCAGGCTGATAAAAAATGCACTCAGACAACTGAGTTGTTCCCTATCAGTGTTAAAAACAGTATTTTATTTTACAGATACAAGCATCGTAAGAGTGATCATATTCACTCTTACGACTTGCTCAATACTGCTGCTCGAAGTGAAAGACTGAGAATCACTGACTGAAAATAAAATATTGATTTAGAGCAGTCACATGTGACTTAATTGTGAAAATACTGCATAAACCAATTTCAATCTTATTCTCCTTCAAAAAAAAATTTGGTAACAGGTATTAAACAAAAGAACAGACAATATTTAAATAACTGACATAAAGCATTACCTTTAACCATACTTTAAACAAAAGATAATATTATCGATGTTCATTGTTATAAAATAGTCAAGAGGAGCTGACTACAGCCATCAACACACTTAAGGAAGGTAGTTGAAGAGTACAATGCATTTTCCACAATGACTTCTAATCTGCAAGTTTCTAATGTTCCATTTATAATGTATATTTGTCTAGTAAGCCCGCAGTCTGTACACTATTACCAAAACCAACTCCAGTAAAATAAGTTTTGCTTGATGGCTTGCAATCAGGTATGAAAGGGCAGCAGCTCCTTCTTATAAGCAATTCTAAATGATGGCAAATGGACAGTGTTTTATGTTCAAGTACCTTGTGTACAGCTGCTCAGCTGCTCTCATCTGCTGCAGGGTCATGTTCAGATATTCATTCAGATAGCTCTGATTTTAAATGCAAGCTTTTTTTGTTTGCTGATTTCTTTTTCTTTCCCCCTCGCACTTCTCTTCCCCGCCCCCCCTTCCTATTACACAGAGGGCTACAGCCTTGGCTACGAAGCTACCAACCGGTTACACTCATTTACAAGAGAGAAACGGGCAGACAAAAGGTGACAGCAGATAATCATCATGGCATCAGCAAGTCTGCAGTTCTTCGCTTTTATTCTGGCTTTGTTTGGTGTTTTTGGAGGTATCACAGCCACCTTGCTACCAAACTGGAAGGTAAATGCAGATGTTGGTTCAAATATCATAACAGCTATAACACAGATGCAAGGACTTTGGATGGACTGCACATGGTACAGCACTGGGATGTTTAGCTGTACCCTGAAATACTCTGTTCTCTCTCTCCCCGTCTACATCCAGGCTGCACGGACCACCATGGTACTGTCTTGTATCCTATCAGCCTTTGGGATCTGCATCAGTACAGTTGGAATGAAATGCACCAAGTTGGGAGGGGACACTGACAGCAAAAGTCACGCTTGTTTTGCTGGAGGAGTGTGCTTCATTCTTGCAGGAATCTTTGAATTAGTACCAACATCCTGGTACACGAGAGAAATTATTTCAAATTTTCTGGACCAGACCATTCCAGAGAGCAGTAAACATGAACCAGGAGGAGCGGTTTATACAGGATTCATTTCAGCCGCATTTCTGCTTATCGCAGGTGTGATCTTCTGCACTTCCTGTTTTAAAAAGCAGCAAGGAGCATGGATTTACCCTCCAAAGCAGCACCATTTCCCATCCACAGAGCAGGACAGCAACGCAGGTTACAACCTGAAGGACTATGTGTAAATACAGTTATTTCTATCCATTCAGGCTTTTTTTGTGCTAAGTGTAGTTTGATTATTTCAAAGAATATGTAACATAGCACTTAATTTTTCTTACGTCTGGGTTGCAATTATGTTTAAGCAAGGTATTTAATTTATAGCAGCATCCACAAAAAGAGTGAAGTAGGAAACAATGCTTAAGTCTGCTACAAGAGTACTTTTTTTGTTGATTTTTCAAACTATTCTTTTTGACTTTCCAAGTAACATTTATTGAAGAAAAAGGAACTATTTTAAAAGGTAACTGACAGTACAATTAATGTACTGATGGCTTGTTACAGCAAAGATGCTTAAAAACTAACTGCTTTGTATTTAGCAAATCAGGCCATCAATTACATACAATGTTTGATACTGTATTTTACATTTTTATCTTTATTTTAATTATGATGCAAGGGAAAAAAAAAACAAAACACCACTCTGTCCAAGAAGCCCGATTCAATGGTTTTTAAGTAACAGACACATCTGCCTTTCATTTTCAGTTCTAAATTGCCTTGGTAACTAGATTTTTTTTAAAAAAAAACAAACCAAACCAAAAAACAAACACACACACACAAAAACCAAAACAAAACAAAAAGCACAACAAAACCCCATAGCCCCAAACCTTAGCTGCATTGTATATTCTGCATATCAGGCTGAAGAATCAGCAGTACCATTCAGATCTTGCCAAAAATGGCTCTCCCGCCCCTAACTGCCACCTGCTCTGGGTTTCATTTATTATTGTTAAAGAAATGTCTACTGGGCATTCACCAATTGCTGCTAATCTATCACTACACAATGAATGCTAGATCTGAGGAGCAATACAACAACAGAAATGTAACCATGACTATGAAAATACCTGCCAACTGTAACACATAGGATACAAACTAAATATCTATGTTCCAGAAAAATCTGGAAGCGTTCTGGTTTACACCAGAGTAAAGTAGCTTTTAACACTTGCTCAAAGTAGCTTTTAACAGCTCAAATAATACAGCTACCGTTTAATGTCTTCTACATTTCTGGCCTTCTAGAAGAACTTTGTAAGTATTTTTAATTATTCCAGTAGGGTCTATTTCAGGCCCACTCCCATGTATTCTATTACTGTAAAGTGTAATATACAATGGTGATAAAGAGACAGCTTCTTCATTTAAATTTATCTTCTTAACCCCCTTATTTTGATTAATAATCTTAGATCCTTTAACCTTTTCTTTCAACACACAGATTTTGTTTTGTATTGGTCATTGGCAGAGTATGTTCTATGTAAATGTTTCCCTAAACGAGAATCAAATTGATGTTAATTTGCTAGCATAGGTAAGGGAATGAAAAGGGGATATGAGACAGGCCTTGAAATTTAGGAATATGATAATGTTTGACAAGTCTTTCAACAAAACCAACTGCTGTTTATTTTGCATATTTATATACAACATTTTGCATATTTATATACAACTTTCATTTCCCTATTATTAGCCCAAAAGTCATTAAAACAGTATGAAAGGGCCTTAAAATTATATGTATAGCTTGTTGAAAAAAAGTAAGATCTGTTATAGCATTTGAGAAAGCGAAATGTTTTATGCATCTAGTATGTAAAGAGTCTTTATTCTAATATACACAGAATGGAATTACGTCTTGTATTACTACAGTTACGTAGATATTTTGAGTTTCATATGTATTCATCAAGGAGCTTGTTTTGTACTATTCCTAATGCTAGTATCAGCAGTTATTCAGTACTGCAGAGACTTAACTATGACCAAAAAGCCAAATTTTCTTTGCTTAGACACAATGCTGGGCAGCACCATTACATTCCATAAACCAAGACGTCTCGACATTCATAGGTATTGCTGAAATAATATTCATTCATTGAGCAAATGAGGTAAACAACTCATTCCCAAAAACATGCATCTCCACCTTTAGTAAGGGGTTTGACATGACACTAAGCTGTGATCATTGCTAGGTATGTGAATTAAAACTAACATTCGTAAAATAAGAACCAAAGGCATTTTTACAGGAGGGCATAAGAAAAAGGTATAATTGCATACTACGAGGAAAATGAAGTATTCATCGGTTACAGAAGCAGCAAATTTTTCTTCCTAGAACTTTATACAGAAGTACCTGAACTTCTTTGTATTCCTATGAAACAAAAATCAAGCACTGAGCCACTTCATTCACAGTATGCTGCAAGAGCTTTCCAAGAAAACAAAGATTCTATCAGAATCGGTAGTATCTAAAACCACAAGTCAGTCTACGGCTAAAAGAACGGGACAAAACAGAAGATCAATCTACAACAGGAGTTTGAAGGAAACAAAATATAGTGAAAACAGGTGCCAGGTCTGCCTGAAAAATTTCTACTTTCTGCTTTTGCTATATAAGCAATATTTGTTTTAACTCAAAGAAATACATTAAATAAAAATATGCTTGCCTTTAGCAGTACTGCCTTTTTTATTCAACAGAGCACCAATTGACTGTAGGATTTGCTTATACTAAGACATTTGTCACAACTCTCTGAGTTACCTCTCTCTCAGTCAACTATGGCCTTTTCAGTACAGGAAAATGGACATATCAGTTATAGCTTCCCAATTCTGAGACACAGTCTGCACAAGACTTTTGACTACATTAGCTCTACTATGCCCTCAAATTGTATCCACCATTGAGAAACCACCACCACAGAATTGGAATTTTGGCCTTACTGAACACTATTTCACATATTTAACAGTGAGATGACATCCTGAAATTATTTTTCATTCAGCTAGGAGATGGGGGGGGGGGAATGCAAAGCAAAAGTTAAGATGTCTTAAGCACGGTCATTTTTCTTCACAACAGACTGCTGTCACGACTAATAATTTAACATGTTTGAACAGTTACTTGCTCAAAAAATACTAACAGAATTTTAAATCATCATCAAAATATGCACAGATAGAGGCCTTAAAATTCATTGTGATAGAAGAGAGCAAATGACCTTCCAAAGGTTCTCAAGAGATAAGCCTGAAGAGTAAAAAGACCAAGAGAGAGAGACTGTGATAAGGAGGAAGGGAGATGTATTGATGAGCTGAACCAACCAGTTTAAGAGGAACTTTCAGAAGCTGCAAGTTCATTTCTGAAACAGAACAGCAGATTTCCATGTGCATTCAGGGAAAACAGACCCACTTAGTGTCAGGCGCACATTTAAAAAAAAAAAAAAAAAAAAAGAAGAAGAAGATACATTCTTGTCCAAAATGCAGTTTAATTTCTTAATTCTTGATTCCTGTAATCATAATGACTATTAATAAAAACCAGTGGCAGTAGATAAGAGGACAGCAAAGAGACTGTTCTCCTCTACTCACTCAAGAGCAGACAGGAGGGAGAAAAGATTGTTACTTTTTTAAACAGGCAGTAGGATGTAGGTGACAAAGTGCTATAGCAAATAGGAGGGAGTTAAATATGCTAAAGATGAGTAGGGTGAAATGTAAAGATTATAGATATGGTAAAATTAGAGATCTTTGACAAAGATGACAAATGAAAAGCTTTTACTTATCAGGGTCTTTTCAAAAGACCCATCAAATTTTCTAGGCACAATTCCCAAACTGTTTATAAATGCAAACTGTAAAACAGCAGGCCTTCCAAAGATGTTACAATCCTAGCAGACTATCTTGTCATTAAATCATAATCTCCCTCTCCAGAAACACCCAAAGAAGTACCCCGATCTTACAGATAGGCTTGAAGGTCAAAGCCAAGCTCTGAGGAACCAAAAAGAAAAGCATCTTCTTGAAGCAAGTATGCTTTGTTTACAGGAATATCGCATCACTCCACTTCGTAGTATGGAGATGTTGAACTAGAGCACCCAACTGCATTCCTTACTCAAAATCAGATATATTGCTTGACTTACAAATTAACAAAAAACCCAAAGAAATACATCAAAACTTACCTTTGGCTTTGGAACAAAGGCTTGACCTGGAATTACGAAACAGTTTTCAACAGTGCAGAGATGTTGAGACATGATGGACAGCCTGCTACGTTGCTTACCTCCTGGATTAGCTGTAAGCCTCTATTGAAGAATCAAAACATGTGATTCAGTGAAACTGAATTGACCAAGTGGTCAGTTACATTAAAGCTTGATTTTCAGTATAACCAAAGGCAAAGACAAATTAAAAAAAAGATTGTTAAGAACTCATATCAAAGTTTATGTCCAGTTCATCTAGAATTTTTTTCTCCAATGTAGCAGCATTTCACTAAGATACCATGCTAATTTACAACCTCAGTCCTGCAATCAAATGCACATGAAAAAGAGCTCCTTGAACTTCTGCAGAACTTAACAAATGTCAAAAGAATTTTGTATGGGCAAAAGAGAAAACTAAAACTATTCTGACTGCAGGATTCAAAACACACCAGCTGACAATATTCTCACATCCTTTCCTTCCACTCTTTCTGTATCAAATATTACTATTTTTTCTCCTTCAAGATGAAACAAACCTCCATAAACTCAAAATCAGATAGAACCCAAAATTTCTTCATTATTAACTGGTCTACGCTTACAATATATACAAGGAAGCTGGATCTACTTTACATAAATTTAGAATACCTAACAGTAAGAGTATTTAATACTTAAAGCTCTATTTAGAAATTCTCTGATTTTCCCAAGAAATTTCTTACAAAGATTATCAAAAAAGTAGCCTGGACAGAGGTTTTCTATGCTTTCATGACCTGGCAAGAAACATGTTCTGTGTGTTTTGCTAGCACAAACGAGATTTAAACATAAAAAAGCACCAAGTAAAACAAGCCTCAAATGGTAAAAGACATTACACTAACTATGCAGAAATAGAATTGTGAAGATTCATGGTCTCATTTACCACTACCTTAATAAAAAATAAAAGATGAAAACCAATTTGCATATCTGGTAACATCTGTACATCATGTAGCTTCAGATGAAAAGCCTACTCATAAAATGCTGCCATGCTTATTAAAACTATCCCTGAAAACTAAAATTAAACCTATTGCTGAAGGTTTTTTTTTTAAACAACTCTCCTGAAAGGCAGTTTAAGTATCAGCATAGAGCAAATAAAATACTTTTCAATGACTTTTCAGACAGAAAGCTCAGTGATTCTTTTTGCCTACATCAGCATTTAAGACTACCTTCATTATTGTTTCAGTGGAAACCTATTTAAAAAAAAAAAAAAAAAAATCTATCGGCCATTGTTATCATTCTCTGAAAAAAAACAGGCTGTGAAGTCTAACAGTGCAATCAGATATGCACTTCCTTAACCTCTGCAGGGGAAATGAAACAGACCTAATGACAACACTTGTAGTCCTTCCAATGCCAATTCAAACAAGCCAGTCTTTACTTCCCACAGAAACAATCTAACAAGTCTCAGGCAGTTAGTTCCTGCTTCTCAGCTACAGAAGGGATAACTTAACAATATCCACTTCTGGGCAGTAACATCTTAAACCACTTTGACCACATCTGCAGGAACATATGTGTGTATGGCACTGCTCAAGGAACACAAAAATGCTGAGAATATACTCATAGAACAGAATCGTAGAATAGTTTGGGTTGGAAGGAACCTCTAAAGGTCACCTAGTCCAACCCCCCTGCCGTGGGCAGGGACATCTTCAACTAGAGCAGGTTGCTCAGAGCCCCGGCCAACCTGACCTTGAACGTTTCCAGGGATGGGGCATCCACCACCTCTCTGGGCAACCTGTGCCAGTGTTTCACCACCCTCAGCATAAAAATTTCTTCCTTCTATCTAGTCTAAATCTATACCCTCTTTTAGTTTAAAGCCATTCCCCCTTGTTCTGTCGCAACAGGCCCTGCTAAAAAGTTTGTCCCCAGATAAAAAGTTTGTCCCCATACTTCTGTAACCTGACCTATTTTTGCAGGATTTTTCCCTCAGTTCTCAAAATTTTCTTTGTTCCTACTTTTAAAATATGGATAGCATCTGAAACTGCACTAAGTAAACCATGCTGGAGTTCAGCTAACTAGGTAACATTTTTGCATCCGTTATTAAAATTTTAGCAAGGCATGAAGCAAAACAAAGATTCAGAAGCCTAACCTGGAATACAATCAAGGTGGTACTTGACATCTCTTCTAATGCTGCTATCAACCACTCTCAAAGACTACCTCAGGAACAACTATTTGTTTTGTTCTCCAGTAAGCTATGCCATCCAACTGTGCTTTTCATAAATGCATATTAAAACCCCATTATCAATGAATCTGCAAAATCTGTCACAGGAATTACCCTACATGAAGAATTAGACTGGCAAAGCTGACCATATAAAGGAATATTAAAAACATTTTAGGACACAAAACACTTTCTGCAAAACAATTTTTTTTTTTTTTAGAACATAACTATTTATATCTAACCTATATCAGTTATGAAAACATAATGGTAATTTTTCTTCTGTTTGCTGCTCAAAATTCTGAAATATTTTCTACTTTATTAGCACCTTTTGCCTAGTGTTTTAAATAGACAGCAGTGTTAGATACAAAATGATTAAGTATTCTGCTCTTCTAACATGCCTGTCTTCGAGATATCTAACAGTTTAGCACCCCACCTCCCAGCCTGCAGATCACGCTGGCAGAGCAGTTAGGCGAACTACTCTCTCTGCCCAGTTTTGTTCAAAATTAGAGACTGACAAAGATCTTCTATTTAAACTGAAATTATGACTCATTTTAATGGAAGTGGGCCAGAAAGTACCCTGCCTAGGTGCCAGATTTGAGGTGAAGCACCAAGGAATTTGGGGCAAGGCAAGAATTCTTATCCACAAAGTAACAATTTTACAAAGTTAAACTACAAAGAGACAAAATTATCTGCTCAACACTTAAAAGGGTCATTTTTAATGCTGTGGATATCTGACCTTATCCTCGTTAACAGGCCTGAGAATTCAGTACATAACATAACTGCTGGTTCTCATCAACAGTTTTAATCAGTTTAATCAAATCATATCAGAACAGAATGGTCTGCAGTAATAGGTCTACACTGACGTAACTCATGCCAACGCAGCTGTGCTACAAGGAAACAGAAAAGCAGGAAACTACCAACAGCAAGAAAGGCAAAGGTATTTTCTACCTGTTATACTAGCAAAAAGGAGCTTGACCACAAGTAACACAGCATGTTGCTTTGTTTTCTTACTGTTAACAAGAAGTTATCCTAATTGATTATAAAGCACATGGCTCCATTCCATGACAGCATCTTACCCTTCTGCTGAGCTTCTGGCATATACACTGAAGCCTTCTTTGATACTTAGGCTCTTAGCTTAGAAACATCCAGTGAGGACATCAAAGTTCTGAGTACAAGATATTTTCCTTTCAAGAATATAAATCCACAACTACATAAAATATCAGTACACACTTATTTATTATCTGCATTACACTGTTCTCTATTTGCTGCTACTGAATATAGAATCACAGAATTGTTTAGGCTCCAGGGATGGTGACTCAACCACTTCCCTGGGCAGCCTGGTCCAATGCTTGACAACCCTTTCGGTGAAGAAATTTTTCCTCATGTCCAATCTAAACCTCCCCCGGCGCAACTTGAGGCTGTTTCCTCTTGTCCTATCGCTTGTTTCTTGGGAGAAAAGACCAACACCCACCTTGCTACAACCTCCTTTCAGGTAGTTGTAGAGAGTGACAAGGTCTCCTCTCAGCCTCCTTTTCTCCAGGCTAAACAACCCCAGTCCCTCAGCTGCTCCTCATAGGACTTTTGTTCTAGACCCTTCACCAGCTTCGTTGCCCTTCTTTGGACATGCTCCAGCACCTCAATGTCTGTCTTGTAGTGAGGGGCCCAAAACTCAACACGGTATTCGAGGGGCGGCCTCACCAGTGCCAAGTACAGGGGGACAATCACTTCCCTACTCCTGCTGGCCACACCATTTCTGATACAAGCCAGGGTTGCTGTTGGCCTTCTTGGCCACCTGGGCACACTGCCGGCTCATTTTCAGCCGGCTGTCGACCAACACCCCCAGGTCCTTTTCCGCCAGGCAGCTTTCCAGCCCCTCTTCCCCAAGCCTGTAGCGCTGCATGGG